GACTTTATGAAGACGAATGACTGCCCTGGCTAACTCGCTGCACCACCATGTGGTACAAACTGGTATTACAGCCCAGCACAAGCTCAGCTGCTCACTGTGCTTATTTCTTCAGTCTGTTAATGCTTCATTCCATTCTGGAAGGTTTTAAACAGCTTTTCAAACAAATAAGCACATTTTAATATCTGTGAGCATGCAAACAGAAGGCCTGCACTGATTAAAGACCAGCCAGCCTTGCTCACGTCCAGTCACACTTAAATAGGTTTATTACAGAGACGACAGCAGTTTAGAACCAGAGTGACGAGAAAACAGCCAACGACATCAGACGGGCTCCATACAGTTATTCCTCACAACACAAAGAATAACCTGCACACACACACACACTCACTACACACTAACTACACACTAACTACACACTAACTACACACTAACTACACACTAACTACACACTCCCACTACACACCACACACACTACACTACACACATACTGCATGCAAACATGGAGATCCTGCAAGCTGTAGAATAATTATAGAGACCTCAGTGTAATGTTGTGCCATCCTGCTGTCAGCCATTACTGCCCTAATGAGAAAGACAGGGAGAGAATTAACATAATGAACCACACACACACACACACACACACACACACACACAGAGTGCAGTACAGTGTGTGTTATGCTTAGCTGACAGTTTTCAGCATTATCGCCTTTCTACTGTACTTATGGGATCAGGCTAAACACACATGCACAGACTCACACACACGTTGCTTGATTGTGTGGGCGCTCTGTGAGTTTGGTATCATCCTGGGGCTCCACAGTGAATATGTGAACAAGTTTATATGTCTATAATATTCATATACAGCTGTGTGTTTTATGCACAGTAAGTGAGCACACACACACACACACACACACACACACACACACACACACACACACACACACACACACACACAGTGTGCAGTGAGATTTGCATGTTTTCCTGCAGGAGGGTAAAACACTCATTATCTGTCTCCTCTGTGAGACGCAAACGCTCAGTAATGGATGTGATGTCAGAGGAGCGGCGGCGGCGTGCTGTGTGGGGATGAGCTTCAGTCTCATTACTGCGCAGCACCGAGATGCTCCCTCTGCGTCTCCACCGCAGAAGCTTTCTGCTGGTGTTCAGAAAGTTCTAACGACCCGCTCACCTGTCTGCAGTGCTTTTCCTTTTTACTTACTTCCTGTTTACTTCTTACTCTGCACTCACTGAGCACATCACACCTGGCCTGAACCCGCAGATTAGGTCCGCGATTCCTCACCTGTGACCGTCAACTGTGGGTAGAGAGCCGAAGACTCTCCTCCAGACTGACTCTGCAGCAAAGCTGCTCCTCCAACACAACAAGAAACAGCTCCATGACAGGAAGTGCAAGCGTTTTCACACATCCGTCCATTTCCTGCTGCTTATCCGTCTAATCGGAAACGCCCGGACTTCCCTCTGCCAGTCACCTCCTGCAGCTCCTCTGGAGAGTGGAGGACACTGAGGCGTTCCCAAACCAGCAGAGATCCCTCGAGAGCGTCTCCCAGTGAAGCACTGACCCGAAGACAGTCTAGCCCAGGGGTCTGCAACCTTTAGGACCCAAAGAGCCGTTTGGAGCCGGTTTCCACGCAAAAGAAAACTCTGGGAGCCGCAAATACTTTCTGACATCTAAAATGAAGATAACACTGTATATATTGTTTTTTACCTTTGTGCTTTGTGTGAACAACTAAGGTGTGTTGCTCATGAAATCCATGAAGTGCTACAGAGAAAATTACATTTTATTTATGTAATTAACACATTTTGAACTCTTAAAGAAATATAACAAAAGGAAAGCTGAACTAAAATGATCCAGCAAACAAAAACTGTTGTAAACCGCCTCCCTTATATCGCCTTTGTGCTTTTGGATCCTTGACCTGACTTAAAAAATAACTGGAAAAAAAAGCACTATGCTGCTGCTAAAAAAAATAATCGATATTTGCAAAATTCTGCCTAAATATATCTTACCTGGTTAATGTGTGTGGCGGGGCGTGGTCTGCTGCACCGCTGCAGGGGAGGTGGACGCACCTGAGCGGCACCCGCAATCACGCTTTGCTGCCTTAACGTCTGCGCTATCTGTGTTGTTGTTGGTGTGTGTCGGGCTGTGAGCTGAAAAGCTACAGCCGGTGTTCTGACAAACCATCCTAAACCATTCTGACAAACAGTAAGGCGTTACTGTAATCTGATTACTTTTTTCAAGTAACGAGTAAAGTAAGGGATCACTATTGCAAAAACGGTAATTAGATTACCGTTACTTTCCCGTAGGAACGCTGCGTTACTGCGTTACTAAA